ATATATAAAACAATATGATTTAAAGCTAAATGCAGACTTGTAAAATGTATTTAAAAACTTGAATGTGATTATGCAATATCCCTTTTTTCTATCACAGGCATGGAAGTTTGAAGTGATTTAATTATTTGAAGTCACACAGCAATAATATTGTTTTATTGTTTCGAGTGCTGACAGTACAGTCCTTAGAAATAAGCATTAGTGTGTCTTAGGACATATTTCCACTCATTAAAACTAAATTGCCAGTTAATTGTTCTGCTGCTGGTGTGTGTCATTGCCTTTACTTTCATTACATCTGTACTCCATTAAAGGGAAGGTGTTGTTCATTTTTTGTAAACAAGGTTTTTCAAAGCACTTAATTTATAATTGAGAGAAAATGTATTTTAATTAGAATCCCTGTGTGTTGGCGGCCTTTAATTGGCTAAAATAAACTGATGAGAATAAATCTCATTAGATTGCTTGACTTTCAAATGTTTCTCTTTTTTAGAGTTTTCCATTTGCATATTTACCTCCAGTATCATCTCAAAATTAATTTAAAGTGCTAGATTTGATGTGCAAGTGATCTGTTCTAGGTAAACAAATCTAGTACTTATGTATACATTGACTTACATCCATTTCACACAAAGGAGCTTTAAAAGATAAAGACAGCTGTTTTATATTTTTAATTCAAGAACAGAATATAAGATACATCATCTTGCCAAATCATATCATGAATCATTGCATCACACACAATTAGCCAATAAAAGCAATTTATCTTCATAACAATGTAAAAAAAAAAAATAGAAGTTGATGAACGTAAAAAATGTAAAATGATTTTCAAAGTAAATAACAATTCTACCTTTGACAATTTAATTTGACCAAATATTGACTCAAATTGCAATGAGTTAAACAAAAACTTAATATTTCAATATATTCTGGTTCAGGTGACGTAAATGGCATATGTTTTTTTCCCTCGAATGCAGTATCAAATGCAGCCTTGCAGTATCACAGCCACGATCAACCAGCAGATTTACATGCTTGCGAAATCAGCACATTACATTTGCTACATTCCATTCCAGCTTTATGTGATTGTCATGATCAGTATATAAATGAGTGTGAGATGTCATGAGCAGCTAGTGAAACAGAAGCTGAGAGAGTTCCATGCCTAGTTCCAGACACTCAGTTGTCTGTTGACAGAGATCGCAAATAGAGCAGTCAAAGGTGTTTTCTCCACAACTACAGCCGCAAGCCTCCATGTATTCAGTGCAGCTGCAACATGGGCAAAAATCTATATAGTCCTCCAGAGAGGAAGGGTCACAACAGCATGCGTTAGAGCAGAAGGATGAACAGATAGAGGCCACGCAGTACTGACATCCATCACCAACGGCCAGCACGCAATCCCAAAACTTGCAGAACAAACACGCCAACAGAAAGGATGCACACAAATCTAGAAGTGCAAGAAAAAAGCAAAGAATTTATTTAAGATTAAATGCATATTCTGCATTCAATACAACAAGATAAGATCAATTGACATTTGTGGCATGATGTTGATTACCACAAGATTAATTTAAACTCATATCTGTTTTTTTTTTTTTTTTAAAGAAAACACTGAGGTTATGGTCATGCATTTACAATATAAGTATATTTAAATTTTGGGTTGAACTATTCCTTTAAAGGAACACTCCACTATTTTTGAAAATAGGCTCATTATTTTCAAAAATAGTGGAGTGTTCCTTTAAATCTTTAAATATTAATATTAAAATTTAATATTAAATATTTTCCTATATTTGTTTTCAGTTGTTTTAAGCATTACATTGTCGTGGCAACAAAAAAAGTTGTAAAATTGAATGTTACTTTACACAGAAAAGGTTAGAAACTGTTTTTCACAGTAAAATCATGTTAACACACACATTGCTGATGTCTTGTTGCTATACTGTTAAAACAGTGATTGGCCTCATTCACTTCCATTGTAAGTGCCTCACTGTAAACCAGATTTTTTTTAAAGAAAAGGAGGAGCGAGTCAAAATTACTAAGTTTTGTGGTAATCAACAACATTATGACACAAGTGCTGTCGACCGAGCTTAACTTGTATTGAACCCAGCATATTCCATGAATGACTGAATCACTGACAAAATATTGATGTGGTAACCACAAATAAAACAGCTTTGCTGACAGTGTGGTCCATCATCAAACCGCTATCCTGTTTTGTATAAATTTAAGAGCCTTTATACTACTAATCAGCACCACACCAAAAATGTTTGTTGTACATCCTCATCAATTTATCCTCATCAATATGATAAAAGATGACAGGAAGAGGGAAAGCTGTTGTCAGTCGTGCTAGTGAGGATTTCAGCATCTATAATGCATAAGATGTCATAAAAAATTGAATCCCTCATTTCATTGAGTCAAATGTAATTTGAAGTGTTGCTTACCTTCAACAGGAGCTTTCAGGCTCAAACGACTCAATGTGGAGGTGGAGGACCGGCTGATTTTGCGATGGCGGTGTGTTGCTTTATAATCAGTGATATGTGACTTTTTAAGATGGTTTGTGGGTAGTTGAACGCAGACAGGAAAAGCATCGCTGATGTCACTGCCAGGAGGGTTTAGGACATTCTGAAATGGCTTTTTCACGTCTGCTTTTACTTCTTTGATATGCACATCTATAAAAAAAAAGGAGACAATAATAAAGTTATATGGATGTTAGCTTAAAAAATGAACAGTAGTGTGTTGGATATTCACCAAATGCTAACGGTTTTGATTTGCTCGGAGGAGAAATAAGACATGAGTTTTCCTTCACAGAAAGTTCATCAGTCGGTGATAGTTCACTATCCTTAAGACATGTTCTAGTAGATTCCAGGTCTTTTACATCAGATGACTCTGTTAAATAAATAAACCACTCTATTAGTTGCTTTTTCCTCTATACCGAAGTATTAAAAGAGAACAGAAAAGTCTTACCAGTGCGTTGAAAAGCTGATGTACTAAGAACTGAACTGTTTTGCAGCTCATCATCACGAAAGCTGGATTTTGATCCAGCTGGTAACCGGCCACCATGTTCATCCTCATGGTCATAATCCATCTTTTCAAACTCCTCTCACTGTATTCGCTACAACAAGGAATAAGTGTAAAGATGTAGAGTGAAAAATGCCAAAGCATTTGAACTCTTAACTATGTCATTAAATATTCAAACACAGGAAGCAAAGAAAAGAGATGTGCTATAGTCTTTGGCATATTTTAAATACTAATGGTAAAATACTGTGGAGGGAGAAAGCTAATTGATCACTTGACATGTTGATATATTATGGAATTAACAGTTCATAATGTGAACACTTTTACTTTTCTTGTTTTGTGACCAATATGACTACCTTTATGGATGGATATATTCATTTATATATTATACATTTAGTTATACATTTGATATGCACAAAGCAAATAATAATATGTGACCCTGGAGCACAAAAGCAGTCCTAAGTCGCTGGGGTATATTTGTAGCAATAGCCAAAAATACATTGTATGGGTCAAAATGATAGATTTTTCTTTTATGCCAAAAATCATTAGGATATTAAGTAAAGACCATGTTCCATGAAGATATTTTGTAAATTGCCTACCGTAAATATATCAAAACTTTGTTTGATTAGTAATATGCATTGCTAAGGACTTAATTTGGACAACTTTAAAGGCGATTTTCTCAATATTTAGATTTTTTTGCACCCTCAGATTCCAGATTTTCAAATAGTTTTATCTCGGCCAAATATTGTCCTATCCTAACAAATATTACATACATCAACGGAAAGCTTATTTATCCAGGTTTCAGATGATGTATAAATCTCAATTTCGAAACATTGACACTTACGACTGGATTTGTGGTCCAGGGTCACATATTATATAAATGCAAAAAAATACAAAGCCTAGCACAAAAAGTACTGATGGAGCAAAAAGTGCCAGAGTCATTAATCTATTATTAATCTCAATCCATTTGGCAAACATATTGTGTGACAGGGATAAGAGGCATCTTAGATGTAAAGAGGGCAATACATTTCAGCAACCTATTAGTCCAATGTTTGCTTACCTTGAGTCTGAGAGATGCCAGGAAAACTTATTTTCAAGATCTCAAAACCTTGTTTTGAAAAAATACATAACAGTTCAAGCTGGCAAGATGTTACTTGAGATATGCCTTAAATTGATTAATATGCAATAGATATTTTAAAAAATGTTCTATGTTGAATATTCTCATCACAAACAATTCAACATTACAAGTTATTCAACACTCTCCTGGAACCCAAATATCAAATCATTATCGTAAAAGCACACCTGACCACCTCGTCATCACGTAAACAATATTAACTGCGGTATATTGTCGCCAAATTTATACAGATACATATATTAGCAGGAGTAGTGTGACATTTATAATAGTTTCTTTGTCAACCTAAAACAATTTATTTAAAATAAATAAATAAATAAAAAAAAATAAATAAAAAAAAAAGCACACACACTATGTTGCCTCCTGACTTTTCCTGCTTGTTTTCTACGATGGCCAAAATATACCATGTAAAATCTTAAGTATTGTAATCTTTGATCATTCAAGTTTATTAAAATTCACTAACCTTCACCACCACATCCATCCCATCGTCCGTCAGATGTCAGATTGATTTTCTCTTACTTCTGCTGTAGGGGCCGTAGCTTTGCCTGATTATTATCCGTTCGTCAGCATGTCATAGTGTTGATAGGACGCACATGCACCACACCCCCTACCAATAAATAAACGCAATAACATATATTACAACACAACAACAACAACAACAACAACAATTTAAAATAATAATAATAATAAGAAGAAGAATAAATGTGCATTTATATTAATATTATTATTATTGTTGTTGTTTTATTGTTATTATTGATGTTGTTTATTATTAAACAGTAACAGATAACACATTGGTTAGGCCTTTAGACTGTACCATAGAATAAGCTTCGTTTTTAAACGACCTAGAAAATGAACATAGCTTTTCCCGATGAGGACTTTTATTATGACAAGCAACTCTCTGGCCAAACAGAACCGAAACGACGCTGTTAGCTGCAGATAAGGTAACAATTATTATGTTCGTAGTTTTGTGTGTGGAATTTTTATTGTTGTCATGGTCGAAGCATTCAAGACACTGGCGTGTTCATGCAGTGAGATATTATCTTAATTAATCTTCATTTGCTCTGTTTGATCGGCTCTTCTAGAGGGCGGAGAGTATCGTTAGCGATGGTAAGTCCGCTATTATGATTCGATAGCATATTAGCTCTGTCTTGAGCAGTTTAAATAAAACAAAATAAATTATCTGAAAACAATTGTTGCAAATGAAACAACGAATTATTTCACTAATTGTGTTGTAAACAGGAGTAAATGTTCATAGATTAATATCTAATCGATTTTCTTGTTTACAAGTGTGCTATCATGCTAATATGTATTGTGACTCACTGGTGTTGAACTGCGGGCAAAACATGTAACGTTACTTTTTGTTTTAAATGGATGTCTAATCTTTGTTTATTATTATTATTATTATTTTTACTATTAGTATAATTTTTTTGGGTGTGGGGTGCCATACAAACATTGTCTTTGAATCTCGACAATCTTTTGAGGTTGATAAATTTCCATTAAGTGTAGCTTGTTGTAGTTCATGTTATTTGTAAACAGTTTTCTATTATTAGCTTACTGGTGTGTCGATATTTTGATTGTAGTGTCTCTGTCTTCATAGGACAGCGAGATGTCTGATATAGACCAGACTCCAGCTATGCACAACACTGTAGTAGATGGAGAGAATACTCCTCTCTACTGCATTTGTCGAAAACCAGACATAAACTGCTTCATGATGTAAGACAAATCTTGTTCTCACAGAAAATATGACAAAACAGTGCATGTTTCCAAACTGAGAGCTTAATTTGTATCAAATCCCTTTCCTGTAGTGGTTGTGACAACTGCAATGAGTGGTTCCATGGTCACTGTATAAATGTGACAGAGAAGATGGCCAAAGCGATCAGGGAGTGGTACTGCAAACAGTGTCAGGGTCAGTGACTAATGAGTTTTACCTGAATATATTTAAATATGCAATTGAATGAATTATATGTTGTGTTAGAATATCTGTTAATGCGTTCTAAAATATTCTTCATCTCTTAGAATTGGATCCATCTCTTTTGATACGGTATCGGAAAAAGAACCGTGATAAAGATGTTGAGCCAGAGAGAGTTGAAAGACGATCCAGCACTCCAGAGTACAAGATTGATAAGCGACGAGGGTCTAAAGTTAGTGTTTCTCCAGTTTACCATCTAACTTTGCTTATTATAGCGACACTTCCTCTATTGCATTATAGGTGGGCAGTCTGACCAAAATTTAGTAAATATTACAATAATAATTTTACTGGAATTAAAAAAAGCACATTTTACAATTTTGATTATATATTATTATGAAGATTCAAAGCTATATATATATATATATATATATATATATATATATATATATATATATATACACACACAATATATGAGAGA